CATCTAGAGGGGGCCTTGGCCTGCTGGGCGCTGGGGGAAGCTGCACCAGGAGCTGAGTGCGTTGCGCAAGGCCATAAAGAGCATAGAGAGCACAGGCCTCTGCTGTCCCTGAGCTGCCTCTGCCGATGGTCTATACCACATGCTGTTTCTTCGCTCATTTGGGATTTGTCCCTTCCTCTTATCCTCGTGGTTCCAGAGGTGGCCCACAGCCTGACTCTGTGTCCACCCTCCTTGCTGCCCTGGAGGCCCCTCCCTGACAGGCAGTGCGGACATGGCCGTGGTCCTGCTTTGCCGAAAGCCCTGTAGTAGCTCCCTCTTGCCTGTGCAGTGTGGTCTGAGCCTCTTGGGCTGGCTTTCAGGGCCTTCCCATCTGGTTCCTGTGATGTCTGCAGCACCCTCGCTCTGACATCTGCAAGGCAGTGACTGCAGAGGTGGCACACCCTCTGCTACACCTACCGTATCACTTTACTGTCCCCCCAAATTCCAGCCTCCCCTGCTTCTGCCCCTACCATTCCCCTCTGCTCCCTCTCCTCCCTCCAGACCTGGCTCTGTGGGCTTTCCACTATTCTAGCCTCCTCCGGGCCCCTCATCCACCCTAGTTCCATCACCTGAGATGGTCTTTATCATACCTGTTGCCATTGGTCATTCAGCTGTGTGTCTGCTTGACCTGGAGAGACTCAGATCTCCATGAGGGCAGGAAGTGTGTGATCTGCAGAAAGGATGACTGGATGAAGAAATGAATGAGCAGTGGAATGAACATTTTTGTCTGCTGTCTGTGCCAGTCCAGTGCTGGCAAGTCTGCCCAGGGGTAAAGGAAGTCAACAGACAGCCCCTTGCCTCCCTCTCTGACCTTAGGGGTTTATGGCCCAGCCCTTCTATCCATCTTGTGTTGGTTTCTAAAAGGCAGAGAAACTATGGTAAATGGTTAAAAAAAAAAAAAAAAAGAGCAGAGCTAGGATCACACATACCTGGCTTCAATCCCTGGTTTCATCCCTACCCTTAACTAAACCAGCCGTGTGACTTTGGGCAAGTGACTCAAACTCTCTGAAACTCCATTTCTTCATCCATGCTGAGGATGGATAACAGTAATCCTGGCCAGGCATAATCCCAGCACTTTGGGAGTCCGAGACAGGTGGATCATGAAGTTAGGAGTTCAAGACCAGCCTGGCCAACATGGTGAAACCCCGTCTCTACTAAAAATACAAAAAATTAGTCAGTCACGGTGGCGCGTGCCTGTAATTCCAGCTCCTCTGGAGGCTGAGGCAGGAGAATCACTTGTGGTGAGCAGAGATCATGCCATTGCATTCTAGCCTGGGTGAGAGAGTAAGACTCCATCTCAAAAAAAAAAAAAAAAAAAAAAAAAAAAAAAAAACCAGTAATCCTTACCTCATAGAGACACTATGAGGATTAAATGATGAAATGCATGGCACATGACCAGCCCAGAGTAAGTGTGTGAATGTGTGGTGATTCTATCAGTCAGGACATTTTTGGTTGCTGGTATCAGAAACCCAGTTCAACCTGGCTTAGAAGCAAAAGAGGGTGCCCCAGCCAAAAAGTCTGCAGTCATCTGATTGGCCACCCCAGTCTCTAGAGTTGGAGTGAGGTCGACCCACTAGCTGGCAGAAAGCGGGATCTCCCAGGGAAAATTGGAGCATAGTAGCCAGAAAAAGAAGGATGGATACTGGGCAGGCAGAGCAGCAGGTGCCCCCATGACTAACTGTGGTGGGAGGTGTAGAAAGGCGGAGGCCTTCACCATGGCCCAACGCTGAGAGAGGTGGTGTTCAGCCACCTCCCCTGGGCCTTCCCCTTCTTGCATGAAAGTGATCGCCCGGGGGTGGGGGGTAGGGGAAGGAATAGCATTAGGAGAAATACCTAATGTAGATGACGGGTTGATGGATGCAGCAAACCAACATGGAACATGTATACCTGTATAACAAACCTTCACATTCTGCACATGTACCCCAGAACTTAAAGTATAATAAAAAATACAATTAAAGTTAAAAAATAGTAAGAAAAAAGAAAGTGACCTGCATATTCTGCCTCCATGCATCAGGGGTGGCCTGGCCAGAAGAGCCCAAGAAAGGGGTTTCTGCCCTGACTCTGACCTTGAACTTGAGCAGACCCCTCTCCCTCTGTTGCCTGTTTTCCCATCTGTAAAATGGGCTTGCTGGAGGAGATAATCCCTGAGTTCTGCTTAAGCTCTAACGATGACACAGGCAGCAACTGGTGTTTATCAAGTGCCTGGTGTGTGCTCTGACTTTGCTCAGGGAAACCAAAGATGGCACGGACAAGCCCCTGCCCTCCAGAATCTACTACCGGCATCTCCCTACCCCGTCCTTACCAACACTCTGCTTCCCATTCAAGTGTCTGTTATAGAACCAAAAGGCCAGCTGGGCATGGTGGCTCACGCCTGTAATCCCAACACTTTGGGAAGCTGAGGTGGGCAGATCACTTGAGGTCAGGATCAAGACCAGTCTGGCCAACATGGCGAAATCTTGTCTCTACTAAAAATACAACAAATTAGCTGGGTGCAATGGTGCACACCTGTAATCCCAGCTACTCAGAGGCTGAGGCAGAAGAAGTGCTTAAACCCGGGAGGTGGACGTTGCAGTGAGCTGAGATCATGGCATTGCACTCCAGCCTGGGCAACAGAGCAAGACTCCATCTCAAAAAAAAAAAAAGAACCAAAAGGCCTTTTCAATTTGTTTTATATATTGAATATAGGTGAAATGTCCAAAACAAGTAGACCGAATGTTTCTATTTTCCTCTATAAAAATGAATGAAAACCTTCAAATTTCTACTACCTTCAAGACAGATCCAGAATCTGACCCCTTCCCACCACCTTTACTGGTACCCACCCCCAGCAGGAGCCATCATGATCTCTGCCCTGGAATAATCCGGCAGCTTTGCTGGCCCCAGCATCGTTGCCCACCCCCTCCCAGCAGTCCACTTTGCACACAGTGTCCTAAGCACTCCTACCATGTCTCTGCTCTAAACCTTCAATAAGGTGTCATCGAATTCAGAGTAAAATGGGTGAAGAAAAATCGAACAATAGGCTCTCCCTACTCCCCACCCCAGCTCTGATCTCATTTCTACCCACTTCCCTCCTTGCTCACACCATTCTAGCTACACTGGCCTCCTTGCCATTTCTCAGCCACACCTCAGGGCCTTTGCACTTGCTGTCCCTCCTACCTGGAATGATCTTCCCCCCAACCACCCTCCCAGCTCATTCCCTTACCTCCTTCAGGCCTCTGCTCCAAAGTCACTCATCAGGAAGGCCCTTCCTAAAAGTCCTGAGAAAACACCTCTCTCTGCCCCGCCTCGTCAGCTGAATGTTACTCTGTAATGCATCCCACCAGGAAGAGTATGTTTCTTACTGTCTGACTTTGCCCACCGGAATGTCAGCTCCATCACAGCAGCAACCTCGTCTGTCTTGGTGATTGCCGTATACCCAGGCCCTGGCATGGTGCCTGGCACATACTGGACATTCAATTCATATTTGTTAAGTGAATGAATGACTAAAGTCCCTGAAGTTCCTTTCTAATGAGGGACCTTGGCTTTTTTATTCCATATATTTTGGCTTCGGTGGGCCAGTGGCTTTTGTGTGAAGAGGGGCCTCCCAGCTTCCGGCCATGATTTTCTCCCCCGCCCCCGCCACCCGTGACTGGGCCTTCCTTCTCCCAGGGCCTGGGAAGGGGAGCCACAGCTTGTTTGCCCCACCATTGCCTCTCCACCTTCGTTTTCTCCAGCCCTAGCTCCCATCAAGCTCAGCATTCATTGAAACGCCCCTCACCTCCACCCTGTGGTGTGCCCAGAGCACAGTGTACCCCATGGCTGGCCGTGGGAGGAGTGGTCTTTCATTCCTGGGGTCACCATTCTTCTCATTGTGTGCCTTGGGTGGCCTGTGATTTGTGAGAATTTGCCATGAAAATTGTGCTCAGCTGCATTGTGAAGAGCAGCAGAGACTCATGTAGTAATCTCCCACCCTGCCACCTCCCAGTCTCCCAGAGCCTCCCAAGAATCACCACTAGGATGGGAGGAGGAAAGGTAAGGGGAGAGGAAGACTCCCATTTGATATCGAGCCACCTGGCTTTGTGACCACATCCTTTCAAAGACCACCCAAGGATTCCCCATGTCCTTCAGAGCAGAACGTCTTTAGAAATGAAGCCCAAAGGTGTGAGTTCCAGGAAAGCCAACGTTGCATCATGAGGAATGCTTTCATTTTCTGTGCTGAGGTAGGGGGAAGTCCCTGAATCCTGGCTTGGATGTGCTTTGGAACCTCAGTAATATATATCATCAGTAATAATATCATATTATTAATGACTTGTTACACACACACGTTGTGCCAGGTAGTACTCTAGGGAGTTCATCCACACTCTGTTTCAGCAGCTTTGTGAGCGGAGTCATGTCCCTGTTTTCCAGGCAAAAAGACAAGCTAGAGAAGTGACAGAAAATGCCAGAGCTGGGATTCAGGCTGCCTTGGCCGTTTCTATTGCCTGACCTGTCTTAGCTTTTGAATAAAAGCAGGGAAGGTATTTGGATACTTTGCACAGAGAAAAGCAGCCCATTACCTCCGCTACTAACCCCAAGAATACAGGGCTCTGTTGCCTTTGGAGGGACTCTGTAGCCCAGAGGTGGCCCTCGGAGGTCCTTGTAGATTTAGAGGGATTTGATGGGGATGGAGAAGTCATTTGACCCCTGGCTGGCTGTCGTGACAAGCTCTTGGTGTTGGTCCCTCTGACAGTGAAACAGCTCTAGTGCTTCAGGACACACACACACTAAACCTTGGTTTGCTTATCTGTGGAATGGGTATGGTGACTGCTGTGGCAAAGAGATTAGGGCCGGTCTCCCTTTGGTCTAGCCTGGAACCTTCTTAAGTTTATCAATAACCAGTCAAATTAAGACGGTATTTCAAATGAAAATGACTGTTAAATAAAGACCAGTGGGGGCCCGCAGGAGTTCGGAGGGGGCCTAACCGTGCTGCCTTTCTCTTTCCGCAGACCCGAGCCCACCGGCGCGCCTCCTGGCCACCCGGCCGTGCTGCGGCCCCGGCCCCGAGCGGCGCCCGGTCCTGGGCGAGGCGCCGCGCTTCCACGCGCAGGCCAAAGGCAAGAACGTGCGGCTGGACGGCCACTCGCGCCGGGCCACGCGGCGCAACAGCTTCTGCAACGGCGTCACGTTCACGCAGCGGCCCATCCGGCTGTACGAGCAGGTGCGGCTGCGCCTGGTGGCCGTGCGCCCCGGCTGGAGCGGCGCGCTGCGCTTCGGCTTCACTGCGCACGATCCGTCGCTCATGAGCGCCCAGGACATCCCCAAGTACGCCTGCCCCGACCTGGTCACGCGGCCCGGCTACTGGGCTAAGGCGCTGCCCGAAAACCTGGCGCTCCGCGACACGGTGCTGGCCTACTGGGCGGACCGCCACGGCCGCGTGTTCTACAGCGTGAACGACGGCGAGCCGGTGCTTTTCCACTGTGGCGTGGCGGTGGGCGGCCCACTCTGGGCTCTCATTGACGTCTACGGCATCACCGACGAGGTGCAGCTCCTGGGTAGGTCTCGGGGCGTGGCGCCCTCTGGGGACCCGGCAGCGGTGGATGTGTGTTTCTTTAGTAGCCACAGTCACTTATGGAGGGCTCCTTTTGCCAGGTGGGGCGCTAAGCGCTTCATGCATTTTATCTCATTTATTTCTCAAGACAGCCCACCCTCCCATTTTACAGATGCGAAAACTGAGGCATGGAGAGGTTAAATCACGTGTGCTACAAAGCCAGGATTGGAATTCACATGGCTTGAACCCATCCTCTGGCCCAGGTTCATTCACTCACTCATTTCTTCACTTGCTGGTTTATTTGCTCATTCATTCATTCACTCATTCGCACATGTATTCATTTGCTCACTACTTCACTCATTCATTCACACACTTCCATTTGCTCATTTAGTCCTTCATTCACCCACTCAGCAGTCAGACTTAGTCTCTGATCATAGCATCCCTGGTGTACCTCCATGGGACATGCAGAGAGGAATTAGGTGTGGCAAACCCCGGCTCACATTAAGGGGCTCGGGGTGCTGGGGAGGCTGACAGGTGTGAGCCTGATTCTCACATAGGAGGCAGCTGCAAATGCTGAAATCCCGATACCAATTCATGGGAGTAAAAAGTTTGCCGCCTGTATCTCAAGACCTTTTTAAAAGAAAAAAATGGGGTAAAATTCACATAATAGAAGAGCAACCATTTTAAAGTGTACAACTGAGTGGCATATAGTTGGCAACCATCACCTCTATCCAGCTCTAAAACATGCCATCACCCCAGAGGAAACCCTACCCATTAAGCAGCCACTCCCTATTCTCCCCTCGCTCCTGCCCAGGCAACCACTCATCTGCTTTCTGAGACCTTAGCTCTTGAACCTACAGATTGCACTGCAACCAGCCCAGCCTCGATCTCTAGGGGAGTAAAAAGACAATAGGTTTGTCAGGGAGTCTGGACACAGCTCTTGGTGTAGCTTACACGCACTGAAATGCATGGACCTAAAGGTTCATAGGTGTTGACAGATTGATACACCTGTCCATAACCCCGGAGTTGACCCTTCTGAGTCAAGCCTTCTCTTGAAGTAGCCACTGTTCTGATTTTTCACCATAAGTTAGTTTTGCCTGTTTTTGAGCTTCATGTGGAATTGCACAGTATTTATGCATTGGCATCTGGCTTCTTTATCTCAGCATCATATTTTTCAGATTCATCCACATCGTTGCAGTATCAGTAGTTTGTTCCTTTTTATTGCTAAGTAGTATCTCATGAGCTGGATTACCAGAGTTTGTATATCTGAAGGTTTGGGCTGTTTCTGGTTTTTCAGCCCTGCAACTTGTGGGAAACAGTAACCTGGGCTTCTTGCTCCTCTGCCCCATCCCCTTCATCACCCCACCATTGGACAAGTAGGAAAGATTCATGCATCCGAGCTATGCCCCAACCCACAGAAGGAGGGAGGCAGTGGAACTTCTCAGTGGTCAAGAGCAGGGGGCTGGATCACAGAGACCTCTGTTCTAGAACTGACTCTCCACATGCCAGCTGTGTGGCCTTGGCCAGGTGACTGAATCTTTCTGTGCCTCATTTTTTTTCATCTGCAAAATGGGCTCATGATAGCACCCACATCATGGGATTATTGGCAAGGTTACATGAGATGATGTGTGAAAGGGATGCAGCACAGTTCCTGGCACAGAGAAGGCACTCAAGAAATCACAGCTAAGAAATAAGAAGCTCTGTCCATTTGTAAGTGAGCTGGAGCACATGTCCAAATTCCAGGCTTAGACCAGATTGTGAAGAGCTACGCACCCTCCAAGCTGGAAACCTTACTTGGGCATTTTAATTGTGTCGCCTCATGCTCTTTTCCATGAAAGGCTTTGATGTTCACCTCCAGGAGATGCAGGTTTCTAAAACCTCCTAGATTTCCCATCATCTTTTTTGGAGCTCTTTGTTCCTATCCAGGGAAGCAATCTCACGTCATTCACCTGCTCATTTGCACCCCATGTCTCTAAGTAGCAGCCCAGAAATCACAGCCACTCCATAATCATCTCAAGTGGATTCAGATTTTTAAAAAATACAAATTGGAGGCAGCCTTTGATGACTTAATGAGACTGCATAAATCTGTGAGGACACATGAACTCTCCCCCAACTCCATTTACTTATTCAGCAAACCCTTATTGAACTCTGACAACATTCTAGGGAGAGGTAGAGCCTGTTGGAACATCAGTGTGGCATGGCAAACATAAGCCTCAGCTTCCCTTATCTGCAGCTCGCCCCTGAGGTGTGCTCATTGATGGAAAGTACCTGGCACAGGTGCCACAAGACAGTGATCATAAAATTATTCTGTCCTTTTTTTTTTCTCTGCCTCATGATCTGCAGGAAACACAAACATATATAAAGGGGAAATGGCATTAGAAGGAATTTCATCCTTGCATGATGAGATCTTGGGTGAATTTTATTTCCTTATATCTCTGAGTCACCTTTTAAAAACGCATATATGTAAAGAGCTTGTATTGCTTTTACAGTCAGAAAGAGCAATAAGGATATTGTCCTCTGAAGGTTATATGAGATAATGGAGGGGAAGTTTCTGACACGTAATTGAGGCTCAATGAATGTTTACTTTTCTTCCCAGAGGAAAAGCAAGTTGTCATTGGCTACTCTGGGTAAAGGGATTATGAGTGACTTTTTTTCCTTTCCAAGATAACAGTGATTTAGAATCAGAAAAATGTTAAACTAAAAATAAGAAGCTAAGCAGTCATGATTTTGTATGGATTAAGTACAGGCAACAAATACCCTGCTATTTTCAGGACAGGATGCGACACCACGAGAACATCAAAAATCCCACCCGAAATCTCCCAATACCTGGGAGAATTTGGCTTCCTGGAGGTGGTGTCCAAGGTACCCAATGGATACTTAAAGAGACAGCCAGTTTCTGTGCTATCCTGAACACTCTGAACAACTTTCCATCACGAGGAACAAGGGACTGACATGGTTCCTTTAGAGCTTCTCAGTTGTAAATTCTAGAATTGAAACCCCCTGAGACTCCTTCATTCCTCCCTCACCACAGTCAGGTCCCACTGAATAAAGCCTGAAAACCAGTGAACAAAAGAGGCACCTGGGATAGAGTTGTCCAATCAAGCAAATAAAAATATAGGACACCCAGTAACTTTTGAATTTCAGATAAACAAGGGAAAAAAATTTTTTAACACAGGGTTTCACTCTTGTTGCTCAGGCTGGAGTGCAGTGGTGTGAACACAGCTCACTGAAGCCTCGACCTCGTGGGCCTAAGAAATCCTCCTGCCTCAGCCTCCTGAGTAGCCAGGACCACAAGCTCATGCCTGGCTAATTAGGAAAAATTTATAGTAGGAGCATGTCCCATGCAATATTTGGGACATACTTATGCAAAAAAAAATGTGTTTATCAGAAATTCAAATGAGACCAGCACATTACACCTGTAATCCCAGCACTTTGGGAGGCTGAGGCAGGCAGATCACCTGAGGTCAGGAGTTCAAGACCAGCCTGGCCAACATGGTGAAACCCTGTATCAAATAAAAATACAAAAATTAGCCAGGTGCGGTGGTAGGCACCTACAATCTCCATTACTCGATAGGCTGAGGCAGGAGAATCAATTGAACCTGGGAGGCTGAGTTTGCAGTGAGCCAAGATCACACCATTATACTTCAGTCTGGGCAACAGAGCAAAACGTCCTCTCAACATAAATAAATAAAACAAAATAAAATAAAAACAGGTAACTGAGCATCCTGCATTTCATCTGGCAATCCTTGTCTAGGTAGCATCCATCCTCTCTTGTGGGGCTGGGGTGTGTTTTATTTGCCCTAGATCTTGAGCCAAAGTCTCAGAAATAAAAAAGGTTCATAGTTCTCACATATTTTTGCCTGGTGGAACTGTGGGCCCAGCCCAGTATCCTCCTGCACAGAGTCCAGCTGCAGCAGAGAGTGCTGCATCTGTGGTGCCAGACCCTGGGGTGCCCTTTCTGGATACAAAATTCAGGGTTCCGAGAAGGAGAGCGAATAGCCTAGAGCCACCAAGACTGTCAGTGGCAGAGCCAGGACTGGAAGACCGCTGCGGCAGTATTTAGTTCACATTGTGCTCACCTGGGGAGCTTCGACAGTCCCACTTCCCAGGCTGCACCCAGACCAATTAAATCAGAACCTTGGGGGGTGGCACCCAGGTTAGGCTTTCTTAAGGGCCCCCACATACTGCCAGGGTTGTGCTCATGATCCCCTTTGCATAGGTGTATACCATACTCGCCCTCTCTTCCTCCCTCCCTACTTGGGAACCTTGGGTGTCAAGTTCAGTTCTTCAGATTCTACTGTCGAGGGGATGGAATCATTGGACCATGCACACCCTGTGTCTTGCTCTTTTTCGCTTCATCCCCAATGCCCACTCCTTTTTATGCCTTCCCCTGCTCAGATAGACACTACTCTGATTAGTAATCCCACGAATGCATCTTTTAAAAATAGGTAGATTTGTTTTATATGTATATGTGGATGGTATTGTGCTAAGGATCTTACCCTGTTTTTCTTTTTCCGCTCACCCTTTTTTTGGATCTCTCTGCACTGCTGTATGCCTGTCTGGTTCTTTGCTCCTTCACGGCCCCTGCCCACTGATGGACACCTGGGTTACTACCAGTTCCCCAAGCTACACACACAGACAATATTGTAGGGTGCATTGTCTCAGAGAGCTGCTCTACGACTGCCTGTTGAATGGTCTCTGGGGTACAGATCAGGATGGGCTTGCTGGATCCTGGAGTGGGTCTATTCTGAGAGACTTGGATTTCTTGAGATGCTCCTCAGGGCTGAAGAGAAGGGACTGAGCCCAGGAAAATTACTTTCCACTAAATTTGGCAGTTCCTGGAGCCAGGAGAGGAAGCTTCTACCAGGCCATACACTTTTTCCCTCTCCTCACCCTGGCTCCAGGAAGCATTTATTACAGGTGGAGTGTCCCCTATCAGAAATGCTTATGACCAGAAGCACTTCAGAGTTTAGACATTTTTGGATTTTGGAATATTTGTATTAC